AAAGCAAGCAAACCTGGTGAGTTGTCGCACAGAATTACTCGAATATCGGTTCGCTCTTCTTCCAAAAAAAATCATGACTGTCATATAGGAGTCATGCCGTCATATGTATTACTTGCAAAGAGGGGATTAGAACTTTCTTGGCACATATACCTATGTACTTTCTAATTTCTTTTTATTTTCCACTTTGAGGGCACCTATCTACTGAAGCTAAATATGGGATAGCGCCTGTAATAATTGGGATGCAAGATGCATAATAATCACATGCAATTTACATTGAAATTACTTTTTTTATCTGTTTATCGTAGCGTAGCTACCAATGCTTCGCTTTATCGGGAACACATACACCATCCGATTCCATTTGCAGGAACTTTTTCTGCCAGTAGAAACAGCGAAACAACAGAAGCGTCTAAAAATATCCTTAGTTCTGTTCTAATTTAATTTACTGATATAAACTGCGTGTTATTCCATCCACTTTACTAAAGTAAATCCTCTTGCTGCACAGTGTATATATGGGTTGGTTCGAATGGTATGCGAGTGCAAATGAAGCAAACACAACTGAGGTGTAACTGAGTTAAATTTGTTTTCAAAAATCTAACAAGGACTAGGCTTCTCAACTAAAACTTTTGCCATAGGCAAAAAAAGGTAGAACTACAAACCAGCGCTTGAGTTCTGACTACTTTTACGATTTATTAATCTGATTTTCTTGAAATTCCAAACGCAAAATCTAACTGCACAATCTGGAAAAAAATTAGTTTCTTCTTCATCAATTTTCAAAGCAGAGCGTGTGTGACTTTTCACACAGATTTAATCTCAATTACAAACTTCATTTGTCTTTCGTAATGGGAAGAAGGAACTGAACAAGCCTAACACAAACCCTTGAAATTCCTAAATCTGTTAGAAAAGCAGAAGCAGTGCAGAATTTAAGAGACAAACAACTTGTGATATCATTGCGATGATTCCGTCGTTAGGTCATATTGTCTACAATTTTTGTTGTATTCATTATGATATAATGTGTGTATTGTCATGATATCAGTTAGTGAACCTTTTACCTCCTCCTACCATGATATTCCTATTTGATATCAAACCTATAAGCATTTTCAGTCGCAGTGTTGATAGATAGAAAGAAAAGGTGCGTTAGGTCTGCGATTGACATGGAAAACAGTATGGAATGCACAAGTTAATAGAATTTTCGCTCTAAACAAGATCTGCACTTAGAGTATAGCCTAGATGAAATGAAAGGCTAACTGTCATGAATGATTAAAGGAGAACAGTGCTAAAAAGCGTTTGCTGTGTTTTATCGACCATTTTGAAAGGGACATATGGTTATGTGAATTTCAATTTACGACTAGGTTTGTAAAGATTCAGTTTGACTTAGCACATTGCTTTGAGTCCAAGACTGCTGGAAGGTACTATTGAATATTTTGCAT